CCCTATCACCTTTCGAACGTCATAGTATGTGTTCCTCAAGACATGACGGAGTGAGAGGTCTTTCAGAGGACATAAAAGAAACTATATTTCCCGATTGATGCTGATATAGAGAGTAAGAATTACCGCCGAAAGGAAAGGAGGACAAAACGTACGACTTGGGAGTTATAAACACGCCTCATGTAACTCACTGCTAATAATAGGTGGTCAATTGTAATAGAAGGCTGTGGTAGACGTTGCCAGGCAGCTAACAATTGTTGGAACAAAACAACACAGCCAGCGCAGCACTAAAACGTGGAGCTAAGCTTAGTTCGGCACATTTCCCTGAGTATCGCGGCGTAGATGCTGCAGTGTACCAACAGCACTATTGGCTATAACGTCACGGACCAACACAAATTTCATGAAGATTCTTGCAAAGGGTAGGATCATATGAGTTTGGTACGGATTGCTGCACGGTCTTACGGTTCAATTCACAGCATAACACGTCAACTTTTACCCAAGCATACTTCATAGCCTACCTGCTTAAGCTTGAAGTCATAGCTTCAAATTTAGGGCTGAGTTGTTGGGGCTAATTCACGGTGGCTTCTTTTGGGGGGATGTGGGGGTTATATGCGATGCTTAGAATACCTACTGCCTGTTGGGTACACCGACGGTCTGGTTACCTAAGGCAGAGCAAATAAATAGTAGGTAGCGTGAATTGTTTCACTGAACAGCGCGGCTGCCCAATGAACTTCGAATCATAACCATTAGTCGGTAGTACCTCATTTCCACATCCGGTGTTTCTGTGCTACTTCATTCCCTGGTAGGGCCGAAGGCTGGTGCAGTAGCAGGCTGTGCAGGATCATCATGGCTATAATTTCTGGGCTCTGCCAGGGTATGGCACTGAATATCATCTCAGACAGACCCAAGCCCTAAGGGACAGGACTTGTTGGTCTACCATGAAGTAAGCTAAGGCTGGCCAGGAACCGAAATAGATCTCCTCCTAATTCATCTCCCGGTAGTGAGGCTGTATTTCCAAAAATGAGAGGGTGACATTGGAAGAGAGGCACAGTTTCCCTCCCCATTTGACCGGACAGCGAATTCAGCATGTATGAAAAGGGAGGTCGCCCCCATCTGTGTTTGCCGTTGCACGAGGCTTGTTTCATACACTCTCCTTTCTGCATCTCATTCCTCTGTGTTTTTTCCGTCCCGGGAGCCTCGATCCATACAGGTCTGCTCAATACGAGTATTATATCCCTTTGTCCCGTATCCCTTACCTGCTGGTTCCCTTCCGACAATTGTACCATCATTACCGACAATTATACCATCATTACCGACAATTGCATCATCATTACCGACAATTGTACCATCATTACTCGAGTGCCACCTGCCAGCTTCTATCGATTGATCAAAACAACCGACCTAGACGAATCAATCTTGTCCAACCCCTCTCTTTTATAAGATGGCAACACCGGAGAAGTACGGCCTAGAGGAAGGCGTACACGGGCAGGCTCCGACGGCGAACGGTCAACAACAGCCTTACTACGCACAGCCAGCACCAATGACACAAAGAAACCTGCCTCAGGAACATCTGGAGAAGGGCGAGGGGGAGTGGCAGACTGGAATTTGCAGTTGTGGGCCGTGTTCCTCGTGTCTACTGGGCTGGTGCCTGCCATGTATCCTCCTAGGCCAGACCTCGGACCGCATTCGCGACCCGTCGGGAGAGACGGCTGATTCGTGCAACTCGGACTGTCTCATTTACGGAGCTATCAGTTGCTTCACGGGCTGCGGCTGGATGTGAGTTCTTCCCGTTCCTTTCCTACTTGCGACCCCGTATGACGGAAACCCCTGGCTAACCTATGCGACACAGCTACGCCATGATAAAGCGTGGCGAGATCCGCGAGCGCTACGGAATCCGGGGCAGCGGGTGCAACGATTGCTGTGTGTCGTTCTGGTGCTCGTGCTGCGCGCTTATCCAGCAGGACAACGAAGTCAAGATACGGCAAAGGGCTCAGCCCAACGTACAAGGTTATCAGGCTCAACCTGGTATGCATATGCCGCCGCCCCAGCCCGTGTACCAGCGGTAGTCACGTAATCGTCGGCTGTAAGAGGGTGAGCTTGATAGAGGCAGAATACACCAATGCCTAACGCAGGCTATACCGAAGTCAACAATCAGTATGATACCACGACTTTGGCGACAATCCATGGATCCGACGTCAACCTTTCGACGGGAATCGTGGGGTCCAAGGGTATGAGACAGATACCTAGCATGTGGAGGTATACCCATAAGAGGCACGGAGCAGTGCTCAGAACTGGAAGCTCGGTACTGCTCTACGATCAGAACAGAACCTAGACAAGGTGGCAGTTTGGGATATTTCTCACAGTTAAAATTCAACTATACCCGTTTTCCTTTCATTTTTTTTTTTTTTTGAGATGTGCACACAGGAAGGCTCAATTATCAGTATTGAATAAAGTAGAAGGGGTTAGCTTACACACGGACATAAGTACCAAGGGTTTTTCACTATATACTAAAAGGTTGAGAGATCGCATATCGTAATGCGAAAATATAACAGCTTCGGTTATTATGTTTTACTTGATGAAATGAAGACGCGTATCACGTCTCAGGCTGTTGAAGTTGCAGAGTAAAAAACAACGCTAAAGCTCGTCCCTGATGGGTTTAGATCGCCCCTAAATAATATACCCTCAACAGATACCAAGCTCAAAATATATTCCAATTAGAATTGCTAGGCAGCAAGAAATCTATACACATAAAAGACTGCCTAGGGAGTTTTGCTCAAGGGCTTTCCAATTGAATTGGTCTAAGTGAACCAGACCCCAAGGAATTTGTCTACCTATGCAATCTATGCATTCGTATTTGAATAATGACAGCCATCGACAACATACCAGTAGTCCGACTTGTAGGCCCACAGTAAGCTGCCAAACTGTACTTACTGTCTACTCTCATCTCACTTCACTCCTCACATCATGACTAATGCATTACCCCCTACAGAGCCAAATACAATACCGCCCGACACAGTCTAGGGATTCTCCGGCCGGTAATTGTGACATGTCGGTACAGAATACCAGCTGCCTGTTTGCGGCGACAGTCGGTCTCCTTACATGACGCGGTCGAGAATGCGGTGGCGCGCGTGGTTCTCGGGCAAGCGTTGCTAGGCGTCGGTATCGCGGGCGAAGACACCAAGGACCCAGCTTTCGTGCACCTGAAAAAGATCGACATGCTTCGTATGGTCGAGTGGAAGGAGATAATTGTCCCAGCTACCATATCAGACGCCCAGGTCGACAAGAGGATTGGAAGCGAAAGTAAAGAGGAACGAGAGAAAGCGTACTACGAAGACCGTTTGTTCCGCTCTCTCGAGAAACTCCATGAGCCACTGTAGGAAGGCCTTGAAGGCAAACCCGGATGGAAAGTCGTTGTGCATCACGATCCGCAACAACTTGGTGCGCTTCGATTCCGCGAATCGCCTGGTTCAGGGGACACAGCCGAAGAAAACAACGCGTTGTTGTCCTTCGACATATCCTTCTGCTTCCATCATGTGTACGCGGACGGGAGGGGCGGATATATCTTCCACGGTGACTTGCAACGAGCCCTAAATGATGCCACCCATCCCGCCGAGCTGCGAAATCATATCCTGCATCTTCCTAAGCCACCGCTTCTTCCACCCCCGATGGATACTCTCATACCATTTTCGCTGTCGTGGACTTTCATTCTCCGTACGGTTTGGACAGAAATCCTGAATGCGGTCCCCATGCCCCTCTTCTTCAGGCGTCTGCTACGACTCGAACCGAGCGAGGCCGAAGTTCCGTGGACGGGAGCCCCGGTCGACGCGTCAAACCCAAAGATTCATGTTCGCACGCTGTTCAAGGTAGACGACGAGGCGCAGCTGAAAGGGATCCTGGCGCGCTGTCGAACATACAAATCCAGTTTAACAGGGCTGCTACATGCACTTATCGCGCGTTCACTCGCGCGCCATGTGAAGGATAGATCGTTCCGTTCCATGACACCCATTTCGCTGGCAGGGTACTCAGATCAGAATATCGCGGGCTTGACGTTCACGCCTGGTGAGACTATTCACTGTCTCGTCACCGGACTTTCGGCCGATCACGATCTCAACGCTATTCAGCGATTGCAGCAGAGTCGAGACGATAAAGACACCCGAGTAGGAGACGATGTGGCTGTCTGGGCATTCGCGCAGGACATGACGGCCCGTTTACGCTCCAGTAAGCATTCCCCGTTTTTCTTATTTCCGCTCCTCAACAGAAGCTCTTTTCTTTCTATTCGCTTGAAGTTCGCTAGAGTAAGCCTTGTCTCTGCTGCAAGCAATGATTTCTGACACCTTGGCTCTTGTAGAGACCTCGTCACTACCGCGCGATGATGTCATTGCCCTGTCTGGTCTTATTGGCGACTGGCACGAGTTCTTCCGCAAAAAGTTCGGAAAGCCGAGGGATGGCACCTGGGAGCTCTCGAACCTGGGGAGTCTCAGTGTGGCTGATGCGGGGATGTCCAGGCCCGAAGATGCAGAGAGTGGTCAAGGTATGAAACAGCATGAGCGGTGGTTCATTGATCATGCGGTTTTCACCCAAGGAAACGCTGTTAGCGCCGCTCTGAATATCAATGTTGCTGGTGTTGCTGAACACGGCATCCATGTAACTGCTAGTTGGCAGGAAGGCATTGTGGACGTTGACCTTGTGGAGCAATTGGCGGGTGACCTGCAAGCTTGGGTTGCTGAACTTGTCGATAATTAGAAGTTCAAAGTGTACAACACATGTTGCTGAGCACCCCTGAAGCACTGGGTCCTGTGAGAGTGTTACCCAGGAAAGGCTACTAAAAACTTATGCAAAGTCTGAAAGATATCATGTGAAATAGCTAGGTAAAACCTATATGATAATAATACCTATAATAATACTATAACTATAAAAAGAAATTTGATGATAGTAGCAATCTAGTTTCAACTTTGGAATGTATATAATAGTAGGATTTCAAAAAGCAAAGGAAACAGCAGAAGTGGACCAGGTGAGGATCGAACTCACGACCTTTGCATTTCTATCACACATGTTAAACATTGCATAACTGTATAAGAGCAATACGCTAACCACTGCGACACAGGTCCATGTTATACTTCTTTTGTTTCGGATGCTTGCCGGCTATTTTTGCTTCTTATATTTCAATAATCTTGGCGAGTTCAGGTACAGAAGTTGTGCTTACAAGTATGTAATCAACCAAGGTCCGTTTTGATGGTTATCGCTGAACGAATACAGTCTTTCGGGGTTGGATTCAATTGGTTTGCTATGTTTGGCGTATTTGCTGATGAAATCCTGGTCCTCGGCTGGCACACTGGCCGTCTCGGCGATTACCGGCTGAATGCTCGAAACCTATCTAAAGAACTGTTTAAGCTCTATATAAATGCAAAATAATCTGTATACAAATCTCCCAATAAATAATATCTAGATAGAATAAGAATATCATCTAGTACTACTGATATTGTAATAAGTATCGAGGGAACTATAACAAGGGGTATTCATGGGTATTCATATTTGCTGTTTAGTACTGACAGCCAATTACACCACAATGTATTATTCAACCCATCTTATCATCCCAAACTTATACCAGTTCGGCAGTCACATACAGAGTGCCGGGTTTTGGAGAAAAGAGACCGAACACCGGGACCGAGGAGAGACGTCTACTTCATTAAGGATTGGTCCGGGAACGAGAGCCGACCGATGAGGAAACTCAACAAGCGGGGGAGGGGGTTGAGCGGTGACCGGGACTGGGATATAGATATGTAGTCAGATTAAGTCCGCATGAGAGCACTGGTCATCACCACGGCTGTATCCCATGCCTGTATCGGCTTGATGCAAGGGTTAGCGATGCATCAAATAACTCGTCGTTGCATTATAGTAACGCTCAGAAAACCACTTTCTCTAGATATCGTCAGCCGTCTAAGATCTCATCACATCCGTATTGTCGGCTACACGAATAATAGCCCCAAATGCGCTCGTCTTTGCTCCCGTTATTACTCATAGGGGGGGTCCTTGCTGCTCGTCCGTTTCTTAATGAGCCTGATACTGGGTAAGACCGCGCAGGAGAAGCCTGGTCAATTCGCTAACAATACCCGGCAGGTTCGACGGGTTCTTCCCTAATCTCGAAGTAGGCGACCTGGCACCACTAAATAGTCTCGTAGGGTTGCCCGACTTCGACGAAGCGGCTCGGCGAAGGCTTCCAATTGCGAACTACACATACTACAGGAATGGTGCTGGGGGTGAATGGTCATACAGGAACAACCTTGAGGTGTTCAATCGATATGCCATCCGGCCCCGGATGATGATTGATGCGACCAACCTTGACGCCTCTTTCCCGTGAGCGTTGATTGTGTTTTCACGCCAGATGTCAACTCACATTGGGTGTAGCACTTCCATTCTAGGTCACAACTTTTCGGCACCCTTCTTCATCGCACCTTGCGCTCGGGGCGACTACGGGAATATCGACGGTGAGAAAGGCTTAGTCGAGGCTGCCGCGGCCGAGGATATTTTATATATTGTAATATACTATCCGAACTATGTTAAGAGCCGTTGCTAAGTCTTAGGTACACAGCCTTCGGCCGCTGCTTTTTTAACGATCGAACAGATTGCCGCCTACAAGGAAGATGGCCAGGTGACTTTCCAGCAGGTCTATCTGAATTCAAATGACACAGCCACCAAAGAACTATTCGCACGTGCGAAAGCAAGCGGTGCCAAGGCTATCGTCTTTAGTGTGGATTCTGCTGCAAATGGCGACCGTCAACGAGCCGCCCGATACGATGTCAGTTTGACGTAAGTTGCGAAACCTTCGCGTAAGCGAGAACAGGAAGAGTGTATGTGAGCTGACAAGAGGTGCCAGAGATACATCATACACCTTGATCACTGTAAGTCTAGTTATTGCTAAGTAGAGCCATATTTATTTGTGGAATAAGTACTGATATATCACTAAGTGGGAATTCTATGAACATCTGAAGACACTTACAGACATTCCCATTATACTTAAAGGTATTCAAACAGTAGAGGATGCGCGCTTAGCTGTCCAGCACGGGGTACCAGCAATCTACCTCTCGAATCACGGTGGTCGCCAGATCGACGGATCCCGTTCGCCTCTTGAGGTTGCCATCGAGATTAATCAGAAGGACACCAAAATCTTCAAAGAGATCGAGGTTTACGCCGATGGCGGTGTTCGGTATGGCACCGACGTCATCAAGATGCTTGCACTAGGCGTCCGTGCCGTCGGCGTTGGACGTCCCTTTATGTTCGCAAATGTTTGGGGCACCGAGGGTGTGACGCGCGCCATACAGTTACTCAAGACAGAAATAGGTCTCGATGCTGCTAATATGGGAATTGCTGATCTGAAGAACATTGACCAGAGTACCGTAAGTACCCCAGATTATTACATACGAACAGCCCAACAGCCGATTTTGTGGCGTTGCGTATCATGTTTCTGACGATTCCCAGTTTGTCTGGAACCCGAATAGTGTACCAGCTTAGCTTTAGTTTTCAAGAACAAGCCTTGTATCATTCAAGTGCCAACGTATGATGGCAGATCAGGGGGTCCAGAGACTCACTCCTTTGGGAACCCATTAGCAATCAACATTTAGACAAGGTCAGATCCTTGGGAACCCGTGTGCTCCGGACGGATGCATTCGCATAGCTTCGTTGATCATGGCTTGCGAGTATGGTAGTTGCTGTGCTGCTGTAGCATTAATATCATCATAAGAAAGAAAGCGTGACCGAACTTCGCTCGTAAGCTTATTATACACGCGCGGATCTTTGAGAAGGTAGTATATCGCTGCTGAAACTGCAATGGCGGTGGTCTCGCCGCTAGCGATGATGAGCGTCGAAGCATGCGCCGTCACCTCCTCCAACGGGACTTCGCCTGATTTCACTTTTTGTGCTATGTTTGTAAAAAAAATTTGTCGCGTTGAGGTGCTCTCGAGATGGGTATGTCATTGTCATTAAGATGACAAAATATTGGCGTTCGACATTGTCGTGATCATGAGCTGGTATGAACCATATGAGGATTAGGCAAACAATTACTCACTCTCTAACTTTGTCACGACTGTACTGGCTATGCTTTGCCCGAATAGACATTATTATTGAAGGCAAAAACCAGTTCGAAAGCGTCGAGAAAGCCCTAAATCTCCGAATATTGTCCATAAGCACGACCTCTCGAACATGATGAAGCATTATCTCGATCTAGAAATGCCGTTTTCCTTCAATCCTTTTCAGTCAGATATGAGTTATTCTTATCTCCAAGATAGGGGAGCTGTGAAACTGACCGGAAGATATGCACCCAAAGGTCTCGCCAAAAGTCATCTCCGAACTTGGCGGTGACATTCCAACCAAATATGAAAGACTTGTGCCGACAATTGACTGACATCTGGTATAAAGGTGATTGTGCGGGGTGTTTATTGCATAGTCTACAATGGCTTTCTCTATCCGCTGAGCAAATTTCCAGGCCCTAGACTAGCTTCATGGGTAAATGTACAGTACGGTCACTTGACGATATGGCAGGGGCTCAGAGACTAATCAATTCTCTTAGGCTGCTCATTCCTGGTGGTTCTTAAGTGGCCGGTAGCTATTTGTATATCTCAAGCTTCACGAGCAATATGGTACGCGTTGGTGCAAATTTTTTCGCTTGATAGGGATTTCATCTTATTGTATAAGTACTCTTTGTTGTCTATTTATCGTCTACTACCGGAGCCATGAATACATCTATTACCACGAATCCATCCAGACCAAGCTCATGTCAAGGAGCCGTGATCACATCTTGCGAGTTTTACATTGTGGCACGTTACCAACTCTCTCCCTCCTCCCACTATGGAGATAATTCCATTGACTCCTAATGTGCTGCAAGGACAACAGTGCTCTGTTTGTCCCCTTCGCCATCCGATTTGGTGTCCTCTTGCGCGGGTACAATCTGTCCTGGCCACTTGGAGAGGAACGCGCAGAAAAAGGCGACACCCCAGAGGCCAATGCTGAGCGCCCATGAACCACGGAGACCATCTATGTAGGCCTTCTTGATTCCGAGTAGCGTGGCGCCACTGAAGTGGGATTCAAGGTCGTACGGTCCAATGGACAACACCTCCGCTGCAGTAGTCCCAGGGGCATATATAGGAACCTTTTGGATCAATATGTTATTTGTAATAGCAGAGGAGGCCGTGATTGCCAGGGATGCCGAGTAGAACTGTACGACTATTTAGAAGTTATTAGGCGTCATCCCTAAAGATGGCACAAACATCGAATACAAAGCACATGCAAACTTTTTGAAAAGGGGGACCTAAGAGGCAATAAGTACTCACCGAGCATAGCTGCCAGGCCAGTTGCCTTGTCCGCATTCTTGTTGACGGCACCTGCGACTATCGGTGGGATCTGCACGATCCAGCCAATCCCAAGTCCCAGGAGGATTTGATATCCTATCTGCTTTCCCAGACTGGTATCAACGTCGAGAGTGTAAATAAGGCCACCGGCCACAGCGGAGATGGCGGCCCCAAGAATCTCGAACAGCGTGTATTTGCCGTACTTTCCAATGGCGACAGAACCGAGGAAACTGAACACGGCTATCCGAAAGTTAGTGATTTTTTTTGTAATTCGTTAATTGCAGGAGTATGTAACGCTTACAGGTCGAACCAATAATCGGGATAGTCCGGATGCCGCTCCCCTCAGGCGTCAGGCCGGCTATAGCTTGGAAGTAAGTGGGGATATTATAAACCACGGAGAAGTAAGCCCCATAGAAGCTATAAGAAGAGTGTTAGAAAGAAAATACTGTATTATACAGGGCTGACCAGAGGTAACAACTTACAAGAAGAGGTAGATAGCGTTCGCCCACATGTCTCTCTGTTTTAAGAGCCGCACTAGTACCAAGGCTCTTTCTCCTTGCCAGATCTCATTGGCAACAAAAAGAACACTCAAGATGATCCACGCTACGATCAATCCGATTATTGTAGACGAGTTGAACGCTTTCACCGTTCCACCCCATGTGAAAGCAAGGATATAGCTGACGAGAGCGCCTGCAAAGAGGACTACCCCCAAGGGGTCGAAGCTGAGGGCTATTTCCCTGATCGGATCCTTTGCCAGTTTAGCTTGA